TGAGCCATTGGTGTCGAGGGAGAATGTTTGCGGGGTGGCGTTCTGGCCAGTCGGGGCCGGTTGAGAGGGTTGCGAGGATGTTCCCGCATCGCCATTCCGCAATGTTTGGAGCCCTTGCTCCAAGCTGGTGAGTCGCTGAAGGAGTTATACGAGAACTTCGGAGCCGATTGTCGTCGTGTTCTCGCTTGTCGCAGCCGGGTTGGGTTGCGCTTCAGCCGTCAGATTAGTCTGACCACCAGATCCTCCGGCCATCTTCACTCGTGAGCGTGTGCCGGACGCCACTTTCCGAATGTCGCAATCTACGCCACAGCCATGGCTGCACAGGAGTTACGCTGGCTCACCTACCTGCTGACTGACTTGGGAGAGCAGCCTCGTTCTCCTCCAGTGCTGTACGTCGACAACAAGGCCGCCATTGCCTTGTGTGAGGAGCACAGACTGGAGCACAGAACGAAGCACATTGCTCTGCGTTACTTCCTGGCTCGAGAGTTGCAGCAGCGAGGCCAGCTTCGTCTTCGCCACGTGGCCACTCGGGCCAACACTGCTGATATATTCACCAAGGCACTTCCGTCTGGTGATCATCAGCGCTTTTGTACTCTGTTGGGCCTTGTGCCTACGTTTCCACACTTGCTGTAGTCTCTGCTTGTACTGTGATCTATATATATACCTGCATGCTGGCTCTTGCTAGGTAGCCATCACTGTACTGTTATTGCTGCATATATATCTCTGCATGTGAACTGGCCCTGTGGCCTTTTGCTTGTGCTCGGAATGCGTGGTGACGTTGTGATCCACCCTGAGCTTGTTTTGCTTCTCTTGACTGGTCGTGTGACCCCTTGTTCTCCCCCACTTTGCCTATGGGGGTGTGTCAAACTATATGTGCTGCATATTGTTTAGGCTGTAGTGGGGTAGCCCATATGGGGTACAACCCAATTAGGGTTTACTACTTGTACTCCTGCATCCTGTTAGTTCATCCATTCCTGCTGCTAGATTCTGACAACCACCAGATCCTCCGGCCATCTTCACTCGTGAGCGTGTGCCGGACGCCACTTTCCGAATGTCGCAATTTTCGGGAGTGGCAGTGCGAAGGATTCCCGAGCCGCTCTCATACCATGCTGCGATCAGAAGTTGATCGTAGCCCAGGATCTACTCAGGAAGGTTCGCACGCAGTAAGGTAGTTTGGTAGGCCCTTGACCTCAATAGCAGAGTGAATGTAAAATGCTTTGAGATAAATAAAACATGCAAATACAAGAAATATAAATATGAGTACATTGAAGAAGAAACGACCTAGCTAGCCATGTACTCTAAGAGGTACATTCCCTTATTCAAATACATCCCCAACCGTGCGGCGCGTACAGTTTCGTAACTGTTCCCGCCAAAACCATCCTGCCTGCAGCTGCCCGATGCCGTCTGCTCCCGACGGTCCAGATGTGCTGTAACCGTCCGACGCTTCGATTCAATTCCAACTGTCTGACGCTTCGCGTTCATTCCCGATATTGCGTGCTTCTCTTTGCTGCGGTGAGGAGTGCACAGTAATATCAAGTATTACTATTCGTAACAAAACCAAAAAAGTTATCGCTCCCCATGTTTCTTACTACTGGCATTTTTTTTTTCATCCCATCGTATCGTGACAAGTAGACGTGACTTCTGAAAGATGAGGTTCTGGGTTCAAACCCCAGTGCTGACGAGTTCTGCCAGCCCCCCAGAAGAGGGTTTCACACTGCTCATTGAAAGTGAATATTCCTTACTTCGATAGCTAGCGGGGCATGTAAACAAGTGGGTAGGCGTTAAACAAGTTATAGAAGGGGTAATACCTAAGGGGTTTTCTCCTAAAACCTTTACCTTTAGCTAGCAAAACTTCTATGATACATTTGTTGTTGCAATGACGTTGGCAGGAAGATATTTCGCGCCATCCTGTAGACTCAAAGATGTTTCGCGCCATCCCCTCGTGAGCTGCTTGTGCTGTGCTATGCAATCCACAGCGCAATAGCCGATGGGCAACAGCACACCACAGCCAATGTCCATTAGAGTCTCACATGCTGTACTTGTGTTACTTTCTCACTCATACAGCTTCGTCAATGTCGCAGCTTGCAAAATTGGGCTGGTAAGAAAGTCAAGATTTATACGTTATATTTTTGCGAAACGAGGAAGGTTGGCAGAATTTGTTGTACTTCATTAATCTTTGTTATTTGTTCATCGGCACTTGATTGGCTGTTTTGTCCACATATTGCCAGTTTGACCAACCGCCTTTTTCTTCAGCTTGCTCGTTGGGCTTGTAAACCGCGTGCAACTTCGTGGCACCAATTGTTCGTGGGCAGGGGCTTCTGTTCAGGAGGGGCAGGAAGCAGGTGTTCTAGAGGCCCAATATGGGGTATTCGGTTGGCGACGGGCCTCGTTAGGGTCGGTCGAGATTTTGAGGGCTGACCGACTTTGAACCCTAACAGAGGGGTTCTGGAAGCCTTCGCTGACATTTCAAATTCCGCCTGAAAATGCTGGCGAATGAGGCCATGGTTTTGGAAAGCTCTGGGATTCAGCCGCAACGTGCCGAAATTCACCGCAAGACAGGGTAATAGGGAGTGTTGGTCCTAAGTGAGCAGCAATCGGACAAAGCCAAGGTCACGGCAACTTAGTTCGTGTCCGTAGGGATGACATGTCAACATTGGCAGTGTCAACCCAAAGCGCGAGGAATTAGAGTGTCAAGAACTGAAGCTTCAGTGTCAAATCGAAGCGCAGCAAGGAACCCTGCGACGGAAGCTTATTGGTTGGGCACGAGTTTGAGTACACAGACGACCCCTTGCACGAACTTGCAGTCGCACGAAGTTCAGCATCCGTCGATTAGGCAGGTGTGGTCGTCGGAAATCTCGATGCCATCAATGTGGTTGGTTGGTTAGTTCCTTTATTTTCGCAGAGCTGGAAGTCCGACGAAATTTACAGGCTGGCAGTTTGGTGTCGTTGACACTCTGCCAACAATGTTGGCAAGTGTCAAAATCACAAGTTGACACTCAAAAGCTTGACATGTCATCCCTACGGACACGACCTCAGGTCCTTGTTACGAACGTGATTCGCATCGCATTCACCGCCCACAAGGGCTTGGTTCTGGACAGATCATCCAGCGCATTTGTCAAGAAGGTAACCGTACTGCACCGTAGAATAAACTACTGGAACATCGTCTGTGTCCTTCCACTTTCATAGTTGTACTGTACGGTGCGGGCTCTGGCACCACCCTCGCTGCGTGCACCACACCCAAGAATGCCGGAAGTGTACGGGGGTGTCTAGCGCCCATCGTTATGCATAAACTAGAGAGGTGCTATCAAGCTTCAAATGACGTGAGTAACCTGATATGAAAAGACATGTTGTCTCGAGGCTAAACGAAGAATGCGGTTATTTCTGAAAATGTCTTCGTTCCACGCGCTTCGGGATCACTTGCAGCAACGCGGCGCGAGCGGCAGGGACTCTTCCTCGCTCTCTTGCGGCAAAAGTGCTATTCAGAAGCTAGTGGTGTTTCGAGGTAAGGCATACTATCTCCCAGTATGACGACTTCAGTTACTCCTACTCCCGGACCGCGGCGCTTTTAATGTGTTTAGATTGTTCCATCTCCTATTCGACGCATAGTCACGGCCGTGGTAGAAGTCCTGCAAATGCGACGCGCGTTGTTCTTCTCATACCTGCGCGCCCGCGAAAACCTGATGTACGAGCAATGTCTTATTTCACGCGCTCCGCGGCGATAGACTACAGCGCTCGAACGGCATACGTATTGCTCCTAGTGCTAGGATCTACTGCAAAGGCGAGATTCAAAATCTATTAGTAGTAACAAACGCGCAAAAAAGGGTCGCAGAAGTGTCCAAGTTTTCTCAATGCCCGCCGTTCCGAGTCGTGGCCCTTGTGTTTTTTTCTGTCATGGCGCAACAAGGCCACGGCGGCCTTTGTAACATCGCATCGCCTGTAACTCGAACTTCGGTTCAGCCGTTTTCTGTCATCCGAATCTATGAACTTGGGTAGTACTGTCGTGAAAATGTGACATCCGTTTGTGCCTCTATCTGCGCCACTCCCGCCAGGCCCGGTGTTCGCGGTGCTTGTGGCGCTATGGCTGCTGTCGGGCGTGGCCTTCGCGGCGTGGCTGTGCTACTCGACGCACGCGACGTACCTCGGCGATCGCTACCGCTGCCTCGACACGTGGTGCTACGAGCGCGCCAAGCTCTTCGAGCAACACACGCTAACCACCGTCAGCCAGATCCGGGTGGGCTCTTTTTTCAGTGCACCTCATACAGTTGGGCTGCGGGCGTCCTTGACTGGATCTCAAACGGCTGGACGTCTAAAGATGGTCATTCCGCAGTCCCTTGTGTGGCGCATAATACGCCATTCAGCATGATACGCCATTCAGCATGTTACGCCATTCAGCATGATACGCCATTCAGCATGTTACGCCATTCAGCATGTTACGCCATTCAGCATGTTACGCCATTCAGCATGTTACGCCATTTTGCGATCGCGCCCTCGCAGTCTACCGTCTGCGACATGCGGCACACATTCTCTGCGCACTTTCCAACTCCCTTGCACCGCAGACGCATCACGGCACGATGCATGCGGAACCCATCCCTTTCCTCACCCGCCGCTACGTCAATCTACCCATGTCCCCACCCACCTCCATCCCAAGTGAAAGTGCACCATTGGTTTGTTTCATTGTTATAGCCCATTGTGGGGGAGGAGGGGGGAAGGAGGGAGGGTGGAGTTCAGATTTGGTCAGGGGAGGGTGGGCTTGAGAAGGAGGCGCATTTGTGGTTTCCTGTTTCAATCAGATCCGTGCATGTTCGCACTCGGTTCCACAGCACTGCGCAGGTGCGCAATGGTGCGTTGCCTTCAGCAGCGGATGGATCATTGCAGCACCGTGAAGTGTCTGATTGCATAGCTGCTGCGTCTAGTAAAGCCGTGCTGTCACACATCCAACCCTCCTGTCATCCGCACGCGCCGCCGCCACCCCCCACACCCATCCACCCAAACTCTTAACCATGGCAGACTCTGTCTGGGCTGGCGTCGGTGATGGGCAAGCCCAGGGGCCACGGCAACTGGACGTGGGACAAGTGCCTCACGGAGCAGCGCTGGATTGCTTACCTCAACAAGACCAAATTTTCTCGACCGGGGGACACGGGTGCCATGGTCTGCCTCTTCGTCACAGATGCAGAGAGGTCAGTTGGTGGGTCGCGGCACAGTGAGAAGAGAACACTCGTTCCCACCAATCAAATCGGTTTCTCCAAGCAGTTCCACACAATTCCGCCTCTGCTCCTGCTGTCCCTCACCCATGCCCCCTGCTCAAACCCGCCAATGGCTCCCGGTTTCCTCCCATGTGCTTGCCATTGCCACCGCCTGGGGCACTCCCTCTCCGCTGCTGTGCCGTGTGCAGGCCTGCCTTTGAGCGGTTCTACGGCGGCCCCATTCTCGACACAACGCTGTCACCACGGCAGAAGGAGCCTATGTACTGCCCCAAGCTGCTGGAGCTTCACACGTACCGTCAGGGGGTCATTCTGCTGATTGACCTCATGCAGCGCGGGCCCAAGGAGCTCTCCTACATGCGCAGGATGGGTGACATTGTCTTTAGCCGTGTCGTGCCCATCGCGGACCTCTCTCTAAACATCACCGGCTTCGGTCAGTCAGTCAGTCAGGCCCCCTCCAATTACCCCCTTCGAACGTTGCCAATACGGTCCATTTCCATGACACGTGTGAGCTCTCTCTCCTTTTGTTCTTTGAAAAAGTGCAGCACCTCAGTACTCTTCACCTCTGTCTGTCTTGCATCTCCCCTGGGCCAGCGGTAGCATTGCCCATCTTGCAGCATGCACTGCCACCGAATCCCACGGAGCAGCAGGCGGAGCAGGCGGTGCTGGGAGCAGCGGGGGCGAACGTGGACCTCGGGTCCATCGCTCGCCACGTGCTGCAAAACGTGTTCACACCAGGTGCTGTGCTGCCATTCACGCCAAGTGCTGCAATGATGGTTCACCTCCCTTTGTGCAGCACTTCACTGCACCCCACCTCTGCCCCTGAAGCACCCACATCCTTACAACCCTCAACTATACCGGATAAGCAGCTATATCACCTTTTCTTTCTCACGCTGTCCACCATTCTCTTTTCTCTGACTCTGTTCCCGGCCTCTAATCACCAGTCCCTTCTCCTTACTTCCCTGGCTCTCTCTGCACCCCAACGTCCCCCCTCCATGCATCCCCCATCCCCCATCCCCCAGACCCCAGCATCACATTCGAGGTGTATGACACCACGGACCCCAAGGGCCCCACAATGATCTACGGCCCGGGCCCACGCCTCGTGTTCTACATCGAGCACGACAGCCTGCCCATCACAGACATCTCGCCTGAGAATGTCATGCGCCCGTGGGAGGAGCGCTCTGTGGTGCCACTCGACCTGCTCGGGGGGCGCTTGCGGCACTATCAAGTGTGGTGCCGGTGAGTGCTGTGTGGTGCCGATGAGTGCTTTGTGGTGTGGCCCCCGTGAGTACACAGAAGCATTCACACCCAGCCTGCTTCTTGCTCCTTGCAATGCCGTTTCATCGCTCCTCATCAAATATACATTCCGCAAGAGGGCTCTTCCGTCCCTCAATGCCATTTGGTGCCATGCTGTTTTCTTGTGCCTCTTTTATCACTGTTGCATGACAGCCCTTGGTGGCTCCTCTGCCTCAATGCTTCTTGGTTCACGTGCCCCCACCCAGCTACGTGGAGTCACCAAGTGCGTGGCTCTCCTGGGGAGTGCCCTGTTTGTGGGCGGCGCTTGCTCTCATGGTGACAGCGCTGATAGCAGCCGTGGCGTGGCAGCAGCGGGTTGGATACATGCACAGCCAGGAGAACATGGCAGCAGCGGACCTGCTAAGGGCGAAGGCGAGGGCAGCGGAGCGGTCGAAGAGCTCGTTCGTGGCGTCCATGTCGCACGAGCTGCGCACGCCCATGCTCGGCATCGTGGGGCTGCTCGATGCTCTCGAGGACCGCCGCCTCTCTGCCGCCCAGCTGCACGACGTGCGCGCGGCACGCACTGCCGCGTACGACACGGTGCGCCTCGTCAACCGCGTGCTCGACCTCTCCAAGCTCGAGGCGCGCCGCATGCCGCTCTGCTGCTCGCCCTTTCATCCGCAAGCCTGGCTTGAGGAGGTCGTGCTGGGCTGCTGTGAGCGGGCACGCGACAAGGGCATCGAGGGTGAGTGCGTGTGCGGGGGAGAGGGGGGGAGCGGGAGCAGGGTGGAGATGGGAATTGTGTTTGTTTGAGTGCGCAGCGAAAGACATGGATGTCCGTCTTGGATCAAGGGGGACGCAAGGGGCATCCCTTTTGTGGTCTCACCGTCTCGTCCCATACTTGTGCTTTTCGGCACTCATTTGTGGTTCTGGCGTCACTTTGGTGTAGACCGCATGGCAGTGGATTCGACTCACCATATCGCTCTCCTCTTATGGTGCTGACTGTGGTGTGGCTGTGGTGTGACTGTGCTGTGTTGGTGATGTGATGGTGCTGTTACGGTGCTGTGATGGTGGTGTGGCAGTGGCGGGCATGGTGGACATGGGAGTGCCTGCAGTGCTGCACATGGACGCCATGCGACTCACTCAAGCGCTCAACGAACTCATCGGTCAGTCCGTCCCCCTTCCCCACCTCAACCAACTCATATGTCAGTCCACCTCCACTATCCGAGCACTCCCCTTCCCCCTCTTCCACTTTTCACGTTTTAAACACATGCGTTTACATGCTGCGTTAAATTCGCAGGACACATTTTTGTGGGTCCCCAAATCGCTAAAGAAAAAACGCCGGACCGGGCAGGGTGAAAAAACGTATGGGCAGGCAAAAAAACTTCACATATGGCATGGAGAGGAAGGAGAGAAGGATATAGCACAGATTTGAGGATTTTTTTTCCCCGCAAATAATATTTTTCCCCTAATATTAGTCTCCAAAAAGTCACAATTGGTCTCAACGATACTTAATGAGTCAATTACTTAATTACTTTAGCAATAAGCAGACTAGAGCTGGTTTTTGTGGGTCGATTTGTGTTGAGAGGGGTTGAATTTGGCGAAATTGACATTCGCGACGAAATTGCGAATGTCACTTTCTCGCGCTGGCAATTTCTTTCTTCGGGCTCACCGGGAAATATTTGGCCAAGCGTTCTGCGTTTTTCCCTGCGTTCAGCGTTTTGCGTTTGAACGCAGAACACAACGTGTCCGAAGCGTTTTTCTCCACTTGTCTTTTGATTGGTACTCAGAATAAGTGCGTTGCTTATCCTTGTGGGTGGTTTTAAGAGTAAGTGCGTTAGTTACCCTTACTATCGGTATTGGTATTATAAGTAAGTGCGTTTGTTACCCTTACTATCGGTATTGGTATTATAAGTAAGTGCGTTTGTTACCTTTATGGTTGGGATCAAATGTAAGTGCGTTACCCTTATGGTTGGTTCTAAGAGTAGAAGCTTTACTTACCCTTATACATTATGCTAAATGTAAGTGCGCTATTTACTCTTATGGTTGGTACTATAATTGAGTTCGTTACTTATCTATATGGTTAGTGTGTCTGATCATCAACGCACATCTTGACTCTCACAATGCTCTGTTGCATAACAAGCCATCCTATCTTCTCAAACTCCCCACCATGGGCAGACAACGCCATGTGCTACACGGCCCGGGGGCACGTGCTGGTGCGAGCGTCCGTGTGCCCTGCCACCACCTCCCTTGACGACTTCCTCCATCACCACCTCTGTCAGTGCCGCCCTGCCCTTGTGTTTCTCCTCACCCTACACACACTCTACTTGCTCCACTCACCCCTCCGATCCCACTTGCTTGACTGACCAATCCTGTGTTTGTACCTTTCTCTCTATTGATGAATGCTTGCTGGCTGTGGCTGTGGCTGTGGGATTTTCTTTTTCTTCTTTTCCTTCTGTCACCACTCGACTCTTTCGTTTTCACCCTTCCCCCCTTCCTCCCCTCATCCTCCACTCTTCCCTGCTGTCCGCCTCGCCCCCCCTCCTTCACCCGCATATCAGACGCTCCGCTCCACCCCTCTCCTCCTCCTCCGCCTCGTCACTCCTGGTTCTTCCCTTGGTTGACCCACCTCCACTTGCAGCTGGGTCGTCTCTGCAGTGCAGCCACTGTGACATGCTGGGGGGAGCAGGAGCCGCCAGATGAGGGTGAGGGTGATGAGGATTCCTCACACAGGGCCATGGCGGGAGAGGAGGAACAAGTGGGGGAGGCGAAAGGCGATGATGAAGGGGATGGTGAAGGGGATGACGCTGGGTGGGGCAGAGGCGGCGGTGGAGAGGAGATGCAGCTGGTGCTGTCGTGTGCCGACACGGGGTGTGGGTTTGACTCCATGGGGGAGGAGCTGTCAGAGTTCAAGGTGAGAGTGTGAGCCTCTAAGACCATCACACGGTGACGTTGGACATCACAGGCCAGCGTGCGTCTTCGTGGACAAGTGGCGCAATCGGTTTGTCTCGCACAGATCTTGCTCTCTCTTCCTTTTCCGTGTGAATCAGTACACGATCATTCATCCCTTTATCTGGCTGGCTGCCCATGGTACCCTGCAGGGGCGATCAGAGAGTGGAGGAGCGGGCCTGGGGCTTGTGCTCGTGCACCAGCTGGTATGCCCTCTCTCCCCGTGCTACACAGCAGGTGTTTTCCCGCAATGAATCTTGTCGTCCGATACCATCGCTTTTCGCTTTCTCCAGTCCTATTCTTTACATCTCCCTTGAAGCACTATAGGGTGAACTCCTGAACCCCATCTGGCCCTGCGTCGTCCCTCCATTTCCCCTGTCATCCTGCCTTCCCCTGTCCACCCCCCCTCCTTCCCGCCATCCCCACTCCCCTTTCCCCCGCCATGCCCCTGCCCGCAGGTGGCCCTCATGGGTGGCCGCGTTGCCTGCCTCTCCCACCCCGGCACCGGCTCCACCGTCGCTTTCTCCGTCCCCTTCGCCCGAATCCGGCCCCCCTCCTCTTCTGCTGCCCCTGCTCCTCCCTATACTGCTCCTGCTGCTCCTCCCCCTTCTGTTGCTGCTACTGAGGCAAGCGGGGGAGAGGTGACCAGGACAGAAGAGCAGGGCACAAGCTCCGGTGGGGAGGGATGGAGATGTGGCCCGTGGTTGGGGGGTAAAGGCGGGCGCGGCAGCAGGTTGATAAGGTGGAGCTGGCTGCCACAGCTGGGCGTGCGGCACAGTACCATGCAGGGCATGCAGGAAAGCGAGCGGTGCAGAGGGGCGGCAAGGGGACCCACAGAGTGCACGAGGGGCGTAGAGGGAGTGACTGTGGGCGTGGTGGGGGCAGAGGGCAGCATGAGAGAGGTGAGGCTGCTGGATGTTGCGGCCGTGTGCCTGTTTGTGTGGTTGTACTCACCTCCTCTGCCCCATGCTGTGCCCCCAGTTTTTGGATCTTTAGTCGACTCATGAGTGACCGTCACCCATCGCTGCCACCCTCTGTTGACCCCTCCTCCCCCCCGCCCCCGCCCACCCCAACACTCTTTGCACCCAATGCCCCTTGCCGTTCCCGTGGCAGCTCACGGCGCTCATGCTGGCGGGTCTCGGAGCACACGTGCACGTGCTGCCCTGCCCTCTGGATCGCTTGCAAGAATCTGAAGCCCGTGCTGCTGAGGGGGGGACAGGTGATGCGAAGGGGAGCTGCGAGGATGCAGCGAGAGCACAGGGAGGGCCGGAGGAGATGAGAGATGGCACGTGCAGAGCGAGTGGCTTGTGTGGTCCGACGGATGGAGGGATGAGGGAGGACGGGGGAGAGGGAGGTGGTGCGGCCGAGAGGGCGAGTGAAGAAGAGGGTTATCCATGCGTGGTGGTGGTGAATGAGGAGGACTTGTGGTGGCAGCAGGGCAGGAGAGCAGCAGCAGGCATGCCCTGGGACAGGGACAGTGGGGCTACCTCGAGGCAGGAGGATTTCCAGTTTGGGTGGAGCGGGCAGCAGGGCGGGCAGGGGGGTGGTGAGGGCAAAGGCGCGGGTGTGGTGGCGCTGGCACCGGGGGAGGGAGCAGCATGGCAGGCAGCAGCAGTGGGGCTTGTGAGGCGCTGCATGGCAGCCCACAGGGCTGGGGGGAGAGCGGCGGACGGGGGAGGAAGGATAGACGAGGGAGTGGGGGGATGGGGTGGATGGGCAGGGAAGGGGAGAGAGGTTAGCCCTACATCAGAGAAGCAGCCTTGCTGGGATAGGGTGGCTGGAATCGTCATTCTTGCTGCATCCAGACAGAACGATGGGGATGAGGGGGGGGAGGGGGTGTGGGGGAATAGGGGTGATGGGGGGGACGGGGTGGAGGAAAGCACAACTGCAGAAGGTGGAGAGGAGGAGGAGGAGGTGTGTGATGATGAGGGAGGGGCAGGGAGCGTCGGGAGGGCGGGACAGGCATCCCCCAGCCCCTGTACCGCCCCTTTAGCCTCGTTGCTGCCTGGCACTGCGTCTGTCAGTGCTGCTGCTGCTGCTGCTGCTGCTGCTCCCCATGTGGTGGTGTGCTGCCGCCCGCTGCTCTCCTACCGCCTGCACCGCGCCGTCCAGGTGAGGTCGACAAAACTCCCTTTGTCTTCCGAGCACCCGCAAAACTCAACTGTCCACTCAACAGCCTGCACCAGGCCGTGCCGTGTAGGTGTGTCGCAGTGCAGTGCACTGCACTGCACTGCACGCCAGTGGTGCAGCCAACCAACCAGGCCTATCGCCTCTCTCCTAGCTCGGCAGCCTGGTGTTGGCGCTGCTAGGTGTCAGCGTTGCTAGGTGTCAGCGTTGCTAGTTGTCAGCGCTCCTCTGCTGTCATCTGCACCTTGCCTCGACGCCGCCAGTACCGTTCACCTCGCCTCCCCCCACGCCCTTCTTTCCCTGACCGCAGGTAGCAGCGTTTGGAGTGGATTCTAAGAGTGCATGGCATGGCAGTGTAGGGTGCGAGCGGCACGAAAGCACCGAGCCTGCGCGGCAAGATAGCACCGAGCCTGTGCGGCAAGCACAGCACGGCAGGCCGCAGGAGAGTGGTGAGGAGAGGAAGCTGAGCTCAGGTAGACAGTGGGGTGAAGAGAAGGGCGATGAGCCACAGCAGAGTGGCAACAGATGGGATGAGACTGGAGGTGATGCAGGGTGCTTCGAAAACACAAGTGCACGTACAGTGGGGAGAAGTGTGAGTATGCATGCTGCAAGCCTGGCAGGAGTTCAGCCTTCTAGCTGCACAGCAAGTCGAAGGGCAGGGGCAGGGGGGGCCACGGGAGCAGCCGAGGCGGCAGGGGGGGTGCTTATGGGGCAGCGGGTGGTGGTGGGGGAGGAGAGGGGAGCGGGTGGGGGGTATCTGGCGGGGCAGCGCGTGCTGGTGGTGGACGACACGGCGGTGAATCTGCTGGTGGCCCGCCGCACGCTCACCCGCTGCGGCGCCAGCGTCAGCACGGCGGGCAGCGGGGAGGAGGCGGTGCGGCTGGTGGCGGCGGCTGTGAGTGCGGCAAGCCATGGCGCGGCAAGCGATGCCAGCGCGGTGCTGGATGTGGTGCTCATGGACCTACACATGCCCGCCATGGACGGGTGAGTGGTGCTCATGGACCTGCACATACCCTCCATGGACGGGTGAGCGGTGCTGAGCGGTCGTGCGTGGTGGCATGGATGGGTGAGTGGTGGTGAGCGGTGGTGGATGCTTTGCATAAATGAGTGAGAGGTGGTGAGCGGTGGTGAGTTCTGGGCATAATTGGGTGAGTGGTGGCACAGATGGACATGTTTAGATGTAAAACGGGTACAGTGGAGGGGAGTAGGGTGTGTGGCAGGAAACCTTCTGAGAAATTCTTGGAGGAACCTTGTTGAATTTCCAGGTTGAAACAACAAATCCCAATTCGAAAGGTTGGCGCCATTGGAACCAGACTGATAGGTCAGCGGAGTAGCCAGACTGATAGATCAGTGAAGTAACCTGGTGTCAGCATTGAGTCCTATGTCTTATCAAGGGGCGTAACTGGAATATTTGTACTGTCCTTCACATTCGCTCTCTTTGCATAATCTCCTGATTTATTCTCCTCCTCACAGCACCCTGCATACCCTCGCTCTCTTCTGCCTGTGTTGTTGTGCTGTGCTGCCTGTGCCGCACTCCTCCCAGGTTCATGGCAACAGAGGCGATACGCGAGCTTGAGAGGGCTGCAGCCCCCCTGGGATCCACCCCGGCAGCACAAGTACCAACTGGCAGCAGTGCACGAACGGACTCGGAGGGTGCTGCTGCTGCTGCCTCTCACCCCGTGCCTCCAGTCACCACGCAGCCACGACTGCCCATACTGGCCTTCACAGCAGATGTGGATGCTCAAATCACACAGCGATGCCTTGCGAGTGGCTTTGATGGCATTCTGCAGAAGCCCATTGACCCCAAGCAGCTCGCCACTCAACTGCTACGGATAGAAAGGCCTCCCCAGTTGGGACCCTTATGAACAATTTCGCATCCAACGACATGATGGTCTGCAATACCGTACTTTGGTTGGTTCCCAATGTAATATTCTAGCGAAGCTAGTGGGTTGTGTGCGCTGTGCATGAGTGCAGTTATGCACTTATCAGGTCATTGTGAGGAAAGGGAGGTTGCTATCAAAATACAGCGTGTACCATAAAAATATACCTTCATCACCGTATCCCCCCGGATAGTAGCGCATATGCGTTTATAATAAAAATGATTTTTTTAGGGGGGGCGCTTGTAATTGAGGAAAGGGCATAAGCGTATGCGCTTATATAATGACATACACATTATAATCATATAAAAAGCTTTGTATTTCTTTGCTATAATCAACTTATCTTGTTCTCACATACCAGTACAAGGTGGTTCAATTAGTTTACTAAGACGATTCCGCTAATACATTATTTGTCAGAAACTACTATCAGGAATGAATGAACTAGATGAAAGTTGGGTACAAGTATGAAACTCAACGCGATTGCCCGTAATCTCAGATAGGCAGTTGGTCCGTGAACGCAACTCAGCTCGGGCATGAGGTCCAACATACAATCGAAGACATGAAAACAGAAGAATATATACTGCCTTGCACATTCATTGGCTTTGCATGAGTCTTTGTATTGTTCCCTTTCTCACAGCACCCTACACACCCTTGCTCTTTGCTGCTTGTGCTGTGCTGCCCGTGCTGTGCTGCCTGTGCTGCACTCCTCCAGGTTCATGGCAACAGAGGCAATACGCGAACTCGAAGGAGCTGCAGCCTTGGGACCCACCCCGACACCACAAGCAGCAACTGACGGTGGTGCACAAATACACACGCAGGTAGTGCTGTGTCTCTCGTTCCAGTTACCACGCTGCCACGACTGCCCATACTGGCCTTCACAGTAGATGTGGATGCTCAAATCACACAGCGATGCCTTGCCAATGGCTTCGATGGAAATCTGCAGAAGCCCATTGACCCCAAGCAGCTCGTCAATCAACTGCTACGAATAGAAAGGCCTCCTCGGTTTGGACCCTTACGGAAAATTTCACATCCGACGTGATCTTTGTCTGCATTACTTTGATCCCAATTATCCCACTTTGGGTACGATGGTCAAGCTATAGCTCAAATGCTGCTTGCCAAATCTCCGTGCCACCCCGGATATAAGCGCAGGCGAGCTTATAATAAAACGGGGTTTCTAAAGGGGGTGCGCTTGTAATTGAGTAAATAGTATGAGCACATGTGCTTGTAAAATTATAAACACAAAATATATTTTTAAGGCACCAAAATGTGTTAGAAACTACTAGCAGAAATGAATGAACTGGGTGAAAGTTGGGTACAAGTATGAAACCCTAAAGGGGCTATACCCCATATTGGCTATCCCACTACAACCTACACATATATATAACACATTTATAATTTGACACACCCCCATCGGCAAAGTGGGGGAGCGCAAGGGGACACAGGACCAGTGAAAAAAAGCAAAGCAAGCTCAGGGTGGATCACAATGTCACCACACACACTGAGCACAAGCAAAGGGCCACAAGGCCAGTTCACATGCAGAGGTATATATGCAACAACAACAGCACAGTGGTCACTACCTAGCAAGAGCAAATATATATATATATATAGATCACAGTACAAGCAAAGCCTACAGCAAGTGAGGAAACGTAGGCACCAGGCCCAGAGCAGTGCAGAGGCGCTGATGATCACCAGCCGGAAGGGCCTTGGTGAACACATCAGTAGTGTTGGCCCGGGTGGGCACGCGAACGACATGAAGCTGACCACGCTGCTGCAACTCTCGAGCAAGGAAGTAACGCAGAGCAATGTGCTTTGTTCTGTGCTCCAGTCTGTGCTCCTAACACAAGGCAATGGCAGCCTTGTTGTCAACGTACAGAACTGGAGGAGAACGAGGCCTCTCTCCCAAGTCGGTCAGCAGGTAGGTGAGCCAGCGTAACTCCTGTGCAGCCATGGCTGTGGTGTAGATCTCAGCCTCACAACTGGAGCTGAGAACAGAAGACGAGCGTGTAGACCGCCAAGAAACAGAGCCAGAGCCAAGGCTGAAGGTGTAACCCTGTGACGACCGCTGCGTAGCCAGGTCGTCAACCCAAGACGCGTCAGAGTGTCCAGTGAGGACAACGTCACCCTGTCCTCCAAGCACGAGCCCCATGTCCGATTACTACACAGGTGGCGCAGTACCCTCTTAGGAGCATCAATGTGCACCTTTCGGTGCCTACCAGGAGCCACGTAGCGAGCCAGAAGGCCAAGAGGGTACGCGAGGTCAGGTCGAGTGCAGGTCATCAGGTACATGAGGCAGCCCACAAGCTCTGGGTAAGGACCACTCGGCTCTACGGACTCGTCCAAAGGTGGAGCTGAGAGCAAGTGACCTGCAGCCAGAGGAAAATGACTGTGGCGAGGACCAGGTGAAGCCGAAGCGCCGAAGGACCTGCTGCACCATGTGTGACTGAGTCAGTGTGATGGTGCGCCGTGCTCTGTCCCGGGTGATCTGCAAGCCAAGGTAACTGCGTAGCTCACCCAGGTCTGTGCACGTGTGTCTCTTCTGCAGCTCCGACTTCACCAGGGCGAGAGCCTCAGTGTCAGCAGTGGCAAAGACCAAGTCGTCGACGTACACGAGGATGTACAAATGGGGCAGCGAAGTGTCGATGCGCAGAAACAGCGACGGGTCAGCTGTCGAAGGAGCAAACCCAAGAGCCGCAAGTGTCATCCTCAGTGTGTCGTGCCACTCACGAGGTGCCTGGCGGAGACCGTAGACTGGCCGCCGGAGGCTCCACTGGGTACCAGGAGAGAACGACCCAGTGAAGCCACGTGGGCGGCGCAGCCAGATCTCCTCGTGCAGGCTGCCCTGCAGGAAGGCTGTGCTGAAGTCCAGAGAGTGAAGCTCGTAGTCACGCTGAGCGGCAACGTGCAGCAACACCCGAAGAGTGGTCATCTTCGGGGTGGGGGAGAAGGTCTGGAAGAAGTCAACTCCCTCTCGCTGACTGAGAACGATCCTAAGGGCTTTTCTTAGCCCAACACCCGAGACCTTTGCTCTGATGCCATGTCAAAACCTCAGCCACTACGATCGGGATCAAAATGGCTTGTTTGTGTAGCAGGTGAGTGCGCCTATAACCATCCAGGTCAACGTGCTTATAACCCACCCTTAGGATCAATCGGGGATCTTTAGTGAACCTCTAACAGGGAATTGAGTTTGGGAGAGGTGAAAATCGGGAGAGTGAGGCAAGGGAAATGGGGCGAATTGGGTTGGGATTTGCAAGAGAAACGGGTAAGTGGGGCTGGTGGGGGCCGGGGAAAATGGGGGGATTAGGGCTTGGGTTTAGAGGGCAACCAGCCGGACTAGGTACAAATCCGCGCACACAGAATTCATCACGGTAAAACATACTGTAAATAAACGGCCGCCAAAAAGGGTAATCAGGCATTTTACCCTAAAAAATGGCCTGGTTGGGCCCCGCTAGTTTGATCAATGGGATCAAAGTGTCATTCTTGCAGACAACGATCATGTCGTTGGATGTGAAGTTGTTCGTAAGGGTCCCAACCGAGGAGGCCTTTCTATTTGTAGCAGTTGAGTGGCGAGCTGCTTGGGGTCAATGGGCTTCTGCAGAATGCCATCAAAGCCACTCGCAAGGCATCGCTGTGTGATTTGAGCATCCACATCTGCTGTGAAGGCCAGTATGGGCAGACGTGGCTGCGTGAGGGCTGAAGTCACGGGGTGAGAGGCAGCAGCAGCAGCCCGCGAGTCTGCTTGTGCAGCGCCGTCAGTTGCTTCTTGTGCTGCCGGGGTGGTCCCTAGGGGGGCTGCAGCCCTCTCGAGCTCACGTATCGCCTCTGTTGCCATGAACCTGGGAGGAGTGCGGCACAGGCAGTAGAGACCAGTGAGGAATCACATATGGTGTGTACGAGGAGTGTGGCACAGGCAGCACAGCACAGGCAGTACCGCACAGACAGCAGAGAGCGAAAGTGTGCAGGGTGGTGTGAGGAGGAGAACAAAGCACGAGATTATGTTCCAGTTACACCCCTTAGTTTTAAAAAGTACTCAATGCGGACACCAGGTTACTTACTGATCAATCAGTCTGGTTCCAATGCCTGGTCAAGAATTTCTCAGAAGGTTTGCTGCCAAACACCCTACCTCCTCCACTGTACCCATGTTACACCTCTAAACATGCCCATCCATGCCACCACTTACCCATATATGCCTACCGCTCACTGCCACTCACCCATCCGTGCCACCACTCACCACCGCTCACCACAACTCACCCGTCCATGCCCACCACTCACCCATCAATGCCAACTGCTCACCACCCACATCCGTCCATGCCCATCGCTCACCACCGCGTAGCACCGCTCACCCATCCATGACCACCGCTCACCCCTCCATGAGCACCACTCACCCGTCCATGGCGGGCATGTGCAGGTCCATGAGCACCACATCCAGCACCGCGCTGGCATCGCTTGCCGCGCCATGGCTTGCCGCACTCACAGCCGCCGCCACCAGCCGCACCGCCTCCTCCCCGCTGCCCGCCGTGCTGACGCTGGCGCCGCAGCGGGTGAGCGTGCGGCGGGCCACCAGCAGATTCACCGCCGTGTCGTCCACCACCAGCACGTGCTGTCCCGCCAGATACCCCCCACCCGCTCCCCTCTCCTCCCCCACCACCACCTTCCAGCCCCCCACCACGCCCCCTGCCGCCCTCCCCTCCCCCACCACCACCCGCTGCCCCATAAGCACCCCCCCTGCCCCCCCGGATGCTTTCCCTGCTCCTGCTGCTGCTGCTGCTGCTGCCCTCCGCCCTGTAGTGCAGCTGGGAGAGCCGACTCTTGCCAGGCTTGCAGCATGCATGCTCACGCTCCTGCCCACTGTACGCTCATTCAGGTCTTTGGAAGCACAATCACTCATCTCACCCCGCACACTGCCACCCTGCCTGGTTTCACCACACCCTGCATCACCCACCATCTCACCACGCAGCTGCTGTTCATCGTTTCTCTCATCACACCCCTCTTCACTCCACTGCATGCCAAAACTCTTCTGCTCCGACCTCCCACTCTTGCTCTCCTGCTGTGTGTCCTGCTGTGTTTGACGAGCAGGCTCAGGGCTATGCTGTGACCCGTGCCTTGCATTGCCAGGGTGTACACTCCCGGCTCCGAATGCTGCTACCTGCAAGGGAGGGAGACGGGCGTTTGGGGAGGTGAAGTGGACAGTAATAAGTGCGGATGGAGAGGTAACGCAATGTGCAACCGACCCACTGCATGGGCATGATCTTGAAGCCCAGCACGTGACAGCCGGCTCACTGGGGGGGAGAAGGGGCACTCTCTAACAGACGGTACTGGCAGCATGGGTGAGGAGCAGTGGAGAGCAACACAAGCTTCTGGATCCGTGTCGAGCCGATTTGAGAAGAGTGTGGACCTCACCTGGACGGCGTGGTGCAGGCGGTGGGAGAGCAGCGGGCGGCAGCACACCACCACACGGGGAGCAGAGGCGCCGGCACTGACACTGCTGGGTGGTGGTGAGGCTACAACAGCAGCACATGGACGAGGCGATGCCTGCCTTGTTACACCAACGCTCCCTGCCCCTCCTTCATAATCACACACCTCCTCCTCCTCTCCCCCTCCTGCACTTGTGCTGCTTTCTTCCACCCTCTCCCTCCAGTCACCCTCCCCCTCGTCCCTCGGTACCCCCTCGTCCACACTCTTCTCCTCATCCCCACTGTCCTCCTCATTCCCCCCCTCCCACTCGTTTCCCCCATCCCCCCCCTCCCCCTCTTCCCTTGTGGATCCAGCAGAGCAAGCAGCGAGAATGACGATCCCTGTCACCCTATCCCAGCAAGGCCGCCTCTCTGCCATGCAGCTCTCCTCTCTTCCCTCCAACCACCTCCCTGACCGTCTACCTCCTCCCCCCACTCCCTCTTCTCTCCTTGCTTCCCCATCCACCCTATCCCCCCCACCCAGCGCAGCTCTCCCCCCAGCCCGGTGTGCTGCCATGCAGCGCCTCACAAGCCCCACTGCTGCTGCCTGCCATGCTGCTGCCTCCCCCGGCGCCAGCGCCACCACACCCGCCCCTCTGCCCCCACCCACCTGCCCACCCTGCTGCCCACCCCCCCGCCCACCATGGTGGCGATGCCCCCCACCCGCATCAGGCTCACTCTCCCAGCGCATGCCAGCTGCTGCTCTCCTGTCATGCTGCCACCATGCGTCCTCCTCGTTCACCACCACCACGCATGGCATGCCCTCCCTTCCCTCCTCTACATTTCCCCCTTTTCCCACACCACCTCTTGCTACCCTATCCTCCCAAACAACCCTGTCCGGCTGACCACACAAGTCACTCCCCCTGCACGTGCTATCTCTCAACTCCTCCGCTCCCCCCTGAGCCCTCCCTGTATCGCAGCTCCCCTCCACACCGGCTGCACCCCCTTCAGCAGCACGGGCGTCAGAGTCATTAAAGCGATCCAGAGGCGTGGGCAGCACGTGCACGTGTGCTCCCAGACCCGCCAGCATGAGCGCCATGAGCTGCCCAGGGGGCAAGGGCATTGCATACAAATAGTGGGGGGGACCAACAACGGGTGGCAGCAACTGGTGAAGTACCAAGGGCAAGAGATTGACAAGGGGGTATGAGGTGCTTCTAAAGGGTGCTAAGTGGAGTGGGTTGCAGACAATGGTGGCAGCAGGCACATCTCACTTCACGTTGGAAAGCTCTAGAGGAGAGATACAATGGAATATTGAGTCCACCTTGGCAGAGGTGGTCAATGGGGCTCATGATGGCCTCTCATATAAAGTCCATCCTACTTACACGGATCACCCTCTCACACACACAAGCACATAGCAGCGCATGCTCACCCAAAGTAGAGCTCGCACATTCCCCCCAGCAGCCTCACCTCTCTCGTGCTGCCCTCCGCGCCCAGAACGCCCACAGCCACTCCCTCAACGCCCCTCGTGCACACTGCATCCCCCTCCACCTCTCCCCTGCACGGCCCACTCTCGCTCCTGCCCTGCATGCCACACCGCCGCGAGTCTAACCCCTGTCTCCCCCTACCCATACACCCTTGGAGGTAGCTCCCTCTCTTCCAGCTGCTGCCACGCCCGCCCTTTCCTCCCAATGACACGCCACACCCCCATCCCTCCCCTGCCACCTGCCCATTTCCCTCTTCTGTCCCACCCGTGCGGTCAGGGTGAAGGGGAGAAGCAGCAGCGGCGGCGGCAGGAGGAGGATGGAGGTGGGGAGCAGGAGGAGGATGGAGGTGGGGAGCAGGAATGCGGCGGGTTCGGGCGAAGGGGACGGAGAAAGCGACGGTGGAGCCGGTGCCGGGGTGGGAGAGGCAGGCAACGCGGCCACCCATGAGGGCCACCTGGGGGTGATGGGGCATGGTGGGGGGGGAGGGGATGGCGGGGGGAAGGGAGGATGGTGGGAGGTTGGGGGTGTAGCACGGGTAAAGGGGGACGGGTGATAGAGTGGGGGAGGGAGGATGGGAGGGGAATACGGAATGGGGGGGAAATGGGGGATGGAGGTGGGAATGTGGAATGTGGGGTGATGGAATACGAGAGCGGGCGAGGGCAGAAATGTGCGGGAAAGGCAGGGCCCACTACCGTTGGGAGTGAGACGTTGAGGGACAAGTGTGAGGCCCAAGTGGGATGGGGCGGGATGGGACGGGACGGGACGGGACGGGACGGGACGGGACGGGACGGAATGGGATGGGATGGGATGGGGCGGGACGGGGGCAGGGCGGGACGGGGCGGGACGGGGCGGGACGGGACGCACCGATGGATGAGCACGGAGAGAGAGGGCTCACCAGCTGGTGCACGAGCACAAGCCCCAGGCCTGCTCCTCCGCTCTCCAATCGCCCCTGCACCCACCCGGCCACGTCGCACAAGGGGATGAATGGCGAGACCTGTGCGCCACGTCACACAAGTAAGAAGGTCACAGCAAGCCGTTCAAGGCTCTCACCTTAAACTCACCTTGGCACGCTCTCTTGAATTCAGTGTGTGCTCGGAATCTCACCTTGAACTCTGACAGCTCCTCCCACGTGGAGTCAAACCCACACCCAGTGTCGGCACACGACAGCACCAGCTGCATCTCCTGTCCACCGCCGCCTCTGCCCCACCCAGCGTCATCCCCTTCACATCCCGCTTCACTATCCCGTTCACATTCCGCTCCACCCTCCCCTTCTCCATCGCCTTCACCATCTCCCCTCGCCTCACCCACTTGCTCCTCCTCTCTCATGTATGCAGAAGGTTCGTGTGTCTGGCATGCCAGGGGTGGGGGGTCCTCATCATCCTCCCTCTCATTAGGCAGCTTTTGATCCACCCACCACCCCACAGTGGCTCTTCTGAGGAGAAACCCCAACTGTGGGAGCAGGAAGGCCGCCCAGGAGAAGAATGAGGGGCGTGGCGGAGAAGGAGGGTGGAGCGAGGCGCCTGATAGGCGGATGCAGCCGAGGGACACAGCAGGCAGAGAGGGACACAGCAGGCAGAGAGGGACACAGCAGGCAGAGAGGGACACAGCAGGCACAGAGGGACACAGCAGGCACAGAGGGACACAGCAGGCACAGAGGGACACAGCAGGCACAGAGGACACAGCAGGCACAGAGGGACACAGCAGGCACAGAGGACACAGCAGGCACAGAGGGACACAGCAGGCACAGAGGGACACAGCAGGCACAGAGGGACACAGCAGGCACAGAGGGGGCAGAGAGGGGGCACAGAGGGGGCACAGAGGGGGCACAGAGGGGGCACAGAGGGGGCACAGAGGGGGCACAGAGGGGGCACAGAGGGGGCACAGAGGGGGCACGACGAGGACGGGGGGGGAAAGTAAGAGGGATTGGAGCATCTGAGATAACGGCGAAAACAGCCACGGCTACCAAACACGCTTTGACACAGAGAAAGGTAGAAACGCGGCATTGGTGAGTGGAATGAGTGATATGGAGGGTAGTGAGTGAGTGGGTGGGCAGGGCGGCACTGACAGAGGTGGTGGTGGAGAAATTCCTCGAGGGAGGTGGTGGCAGGGCACACAGATGCTCGCACCAGCACGTGCCCATGGGTCGTGTAGCACAGCGCGTTGTCTGCCGGTGGTGGGGAGTTTGGTCAGACAGGACGGCAAGTGATAGATCAGGGACGTTGTTAGGATGGGGCAACACATGTTGATTCACTAGACGAAAGGACTTAGAGAAAGGAGGGCTGGGAAAGGGAGAACGGGCAATAGTGTTGGGGCTTGATTGCGGTGATGGATTGATCACTGACCGATGAGCTCGTTGAGTGCTTGTGAGAGTCGCATGGTGTCCATGTGCAGCACTACAGGCACTCCCATGTCCACCATGCCCGCCACTGCCAGTCAGGCCAGCCACAATAAGGGGCAGTCAATTGTGAGTCAATTCAAAGTACACCATGCCACCCACTCACTGCCACAATCACACCAGCCACCATTAGAGAAGTGAGAGCGGCCTGGAGTGCCCTCCAGGACTTCTGTTCAGCAAAGAAACTCAAGCATAGCACATCAATGACCAGGAAAAAGGTGCCTTTCGCATTGAGCAATGACCAGGTACGCACACCCCTACTGCTCACTCTCCACCCACTCAGAACCAACAAGTCCCAATCTCAACCAGCTCCCACTCCCCTTGTGCATGCACACTCATCCTAAGCACTCTTGCCGCATTCACTCACCCCTAAGTACCCTTGTCGCGCGCACTTACCGTCGATGCCCTTGTCGCGTGCCCGCTCACAGCAGCCCAGCACGACCTCCTCAAGCCAGGCTTGCGGATGAAAGGGCGAGCAGCAGAGAGGCATGCGGCGCGCCTCGAGCTTGGAGAGGTCGAGCACGCGGTTGACGAGGCGCACCGTGTCGTACGCGGCAGTGCGTGCCGCGCGCACGTCGTGCAGCTGGGCGGCAGAGAGGGAGCGTTCGTGGAGAGCATCGAGCAGCCCCACGATGCTGAGCATGGGCGTGCGCAGCTCGTGCGACATGGACGCCACGAATGAGCTCTTCGACCGCTCCGCTGCCCTCGCCTTCCCTCTCAGCTGGTCCGCCGCTGCCATGCTCTCCTCGCTGCGCATGTACCCCACCCGCTGCTGCCACGCCACCGCCGCCACCAACGCCGTCAGCACGAGAGCGAGAGCCGCCCAGAGGAAAGGCACGCACCAGGAGAGCCACGTGCTTGGCGGCTCCACGTAGCTGGGCGGGGTTAAGTGAAGGGAACGAGTGGCAGAGAGGGCGGGGTCCAGCCAGGACTCTCACGGAAAGCAGGAGTAAAAAACTAATGGTCTCGCGGAGGCACGTGAGTGAAGGACGAGATTGTGAAGAAGGGGCATAGCAGCACTCACTGGCAGCATACAGCACCACTCAGCAGTACACAGAAGTTTCACTTTCACCACACTGCATTTACCAACAGCATACAGAACACTCTCTGTGACCACACAGCAATGCTAGCAGCACGCAGAACAATCAATTTTGTCAGAATCCAAACCGCTACACCACTGGGATAAAAGGGCTTGCTAAGTAGCAGGTGAGTGCACCCATAACCCCCAAGCCAAGTATGATTGTAACCCTTTCCTAGGATCAATCAAAAATCCCCAGTGCAGGTTTTCTGACATCCCCCTTTCACTGAGATGCCATAGGAGACGGCACAACGGCAGTGGCACATGGGCGGCAGCATGTGTGCAAATGTGAATTCGAACCCAAAAACTTCACTCTAATACGATGTCAGAATCCTAGTCACTACACCCCTAGGATAAAATGACTTGTTAAGTACTTTGCTCAGGGGTCTGTAACTAACAACTTTCACCACACAGCATTCACCGGCACCGCAGCACACTCACCAGCACCGCAGCACACTCACCAGCACCGCAGCACACTCACCAGCACCGCAGCACACTCACCGGCACCACACTTGGTAGCGCCGCAAACGGCCCCCGAGCAGGTCGAGCGGCACGACAGAGCGCTCTTCCCACGGGCGCGTGACGTTTGGGGGCGAGACGTCGGTCATGGGAAGAATATCGCGGTCGCGGTAGTACAGAAGGCGTGGGCCCGGCCCGTAGATCATTGTCAGGGAATTGGGGTCCGTGGTCTCATACACCTCAAATGTGATACTGGGGTCTGGGGTTTGCAGGATGGATGGTGGGAGCATGTCAAGGCAGAGACAGTCAGGGAAGAAGTAGAAAGGACTGATCATGAGACGCAAGGAAAAAAGAGTCAGAGGAAAGGAGGGATGACAGACACTGTGAGAAAGGCAAGGCTTGTACGGAAAGGAGGAAGCTGCCAACCCAACTAGTTGAAGACTGTAAGCATGTGGGTTTCAAGGGGCAGAGGTGGGGTGCGGTGCAGTGCAGCACAAAGAGTGGTGAACAAGCTCTACACCACCTGACGTGAATTGCAGCACCTGGCGTAAACACGTTCTGCAGCACGTTGTGGGCGATCATCACGAGGTCCACATTCGCCCCAGCTGCTCCCAGCACCACCTCCTCCGCCTGCTGCTCCGTGGGATTCGGTGGCAGCGCATGCTGCAAGATGGGCACCCCGACGGCTGCACGCAGAGACGCAACCGGGCATGCGGGACAGAGGTGAAAAGCAGTGGGATTAAATGGAACAGGGCAAAGTTAGATCGTGGTGCCGAGCCCAAGAATTGGGACATGTGGGCGAGGGCTGAGGGGACTCACTGAAGCCGGTGAGGTTGAGGGAGAGGTTTCCGATGGGCATGACACGGCTGAAGATGATGTCCCCCGTCCTGCGCAAAAATGAGAGCTCGTCACCGCCGCGCTGCATGAGGTCCACGAGCAGATAGCTTTTCCAATACGAGTGCAACTCGAGCAGCCTGGGGCAGTAGAGAGGCTGCTGCTGGCGCCGCATCAAGGTAAAGTCGAGAATGGAGCCGTTGTACTGCCGCTCAAAGGCAGGCCTGCGCACGGCACGGTAGAGGGAGGGAGTGCCGCAGTGGCAAGCACATGGACGGAGACGGGGAGCATGGGCGGGTTGGAGCTGGGGGATGTGTGACATGACAGCCGGACCAGAGGCGGGATCCTGTGCATGTGCCTTGAAAGACGGAGTTGAGTGGTGGGTGATTAGGAAGCGCAGTTGCAGTGGCCCACTGACTGACCTCTCTGCATCCGTGACGAAGAGGCACACCATGGCGCCTGTGTCCCCCGGTCGTGAGTATCTGGTGTTGTTAACATAGGCGATCCAGCGCTGCTCCGTGAGGCACTTGTTCCACGTCCAGTTGCCGTGGCCCCTGGGCTTGCCCATCACCGCCGCCAGCCCCGCCAGAGTCTGCCAAAGCCGCGTGGGCATTTGGTTTGGCACGTGAGGTGCGGGCGGGTGACAGGAGCGGTGGATAACGTGACATCAGGACTTATGTCGCAGCAGCAATGTGGCCTGACACTTCACATCACGTCACTGCCGCGATGTGAACATGTCCCATTGATGAGTGTACTGCTATGTTCCATAACTTTCTAAATGCACACACCATTGTGCACCTGCAAGGGTGTTGCGGACAGTGGAACTGAGAGCGAACATGCACGGATCCAATTGAAACCAGAAACCATGATTGTGCCTCATTCTCGGGCCTGGATGGGACCCCCTTAACAAAATTGAAATTCCTCCCACTCCTCTCCCATTTCCCTCCTCCTCCGCTCCTCTCCCCTCATGGGCTTAAAACAAGAAGCGGACAGCGGGAGCCATGGGGGAGACAGGGAGGTTCGATAGTGACGGTCGGCAAGCAATTAAAGAGAGCCGTGCGCATAGCAGGTGTGCCGCATTCCGTGGTGGGTGGGTGCAAGGGCGACATTGCAAAATGGCGTATCAGCCTGCTGCTACACTAAGGGCTACGTGCAAAACGAGCATCTGCCGAGAAGCTCCCAACCCTAGAAATTACCCATAAACCAAACCTCAACATTCTGGGATAAACGTTCATGGCAAAACCGGCATTCTGGTTCCCGTATGGTATCATGAGGGGCATTGATTTGAAGCGCTCACGCGGATCTGGCTGACGGTGGTGAGCGTGTGTTGCTCGAAGAGCTTGGCGCGCTCGTAGCACCACGTGTCGAGGCGGCGGTAGCGATCGCCGAGGTACGTCGCGTGCGTCGAGTAGCACAGCCACGCCGCGAAGGCCATGCCCGACAGCAGCCATAGCGCCACAAGAGCCGCGAAGACCGGGCCTGGCGGGAGTGGCGCAGGTACCATGATGTCGATTTTGTGCTACAATAGCGTTTCGACGCATCGAAACCCGCCAATTCCGGGCCATACACCCGCCATATGCAGGGCGATTATGGCTGGAACTGCCAGGGCTAGTACTTTTTTAAGATGACGCACCAGCAGAATACGGATTTTTTTGGGCCATCATCGTTATGAGAGCCAAATCAGAGACACCGACGCCCGTGAGCGACACCCGAAAGCGCGCAACGCGCGGAGCACGGCACGACATTCGAGCTTTCACGATTATTGTTTTAGACATGTACTGCCCAACGAACTCACCTCTAAACACTTTATTCTGGATCTCGCCGCGTTTGACGCGTGACACCGACGAATCGCTGTGCGAGCGGTGTAATCGGCGATTGAGGAGAGCGCGAAAACTATACATTTTTTTAAACAGGCCGGGATATTCGTCGAAGAAATGGCACCTGGCATGTTTGGTCACACACCATCAGCAAGAAAAAAATGCTCCTCTTACTTGGTTGAAAGCTGAAGGAAGGGCAGCTGGTGCAGCGGGAATGTGCATTGTGTAGGTGAGTGTGACATACTTCGTCCTACCGTTGCCTATGTTCAAATGCAAATGAGGGGCGGGAGCATGAGGGGCGGGAGCAGTCGCCCATTTTGGTGGATTTCAGAGGTTCATACGAGCAGGAACAGTAAAACACGGGCGAATGCGGGAAGGCTTCCGCGCGCTCGCGGGAGCGACCTGCCCGCGGGCAAAAAAAAAACTAAAACCCATCGCGACCGGCATGCGGCTCGGGAGCCTCAACCCTAAGATTTTAGGGTTGAGGCTCCCGAACGGCATGCGGGTCGCGATGGGGTTTAGTTTTTTTTGCCCCGGGCAGAAAGCCTCCGCCGGCTCCGCGTCCTGGTGGAAACTCGTTTCCACCAGGGAGGTACCTGGTAGAAATGCGCCCACCACGGCCCGTAGGAACTCGGCTAGCCTAGCCACGCTTTCATTTCGGGGCAAGTGGCAGGCGGGAGCATGCGGGTAGCAGATCTTTTCTTTTCAGGGTGTTGTGTACCAGATGCCTGCATAACTGTTTGGACAATCCAGCTACGAACCCAGCCCAAGTTTGTGTCGTGTATTCGTCACGAAGCAACTAGCTCCGTTTGGCCAATTCAGAAAAGAGTACCAGATTGTTCACTCACCATACGGCATAATAGGCTGACGTTTCTTCGTTAATGAAGAATGACAAACTCTCCTTAGCCTGGTGGTAGCTGGCTTGAAGAAAATTTCCACCCAAAGTTCCCGGTTGGTGGCGGTTGGGGCCGAACCCTGATTTGGCAGGGTGCTGTAAAGCAAAAATTTCGCGAAAATCCCTCATTCAAGTGCTGATTGGGGGCAGACCCTACAGATCATCGTACTTGTGCAATTCCCAGAAGGGGGTTACACAGGTGCTCATCTGGGAGTGGATAGAACAACCTCGTTGACCCAGCGAGGAGTGTAAACAAATGGGGAGGCGGGTTACGACCGACAGCCAGGTGTGGTTAACACCCAGAGGGGATTCCCCCCCTCTAACCTTTTAATGTACTTGTGCAATCCGGCGTGCGGAAATTGATGACGTGGTGGCAGAGTTGATCACCTCAGTGGACACTAGGCATGAGTGTTAGAATGTTAGAATGTTATATATAGATCGTAATCATTTAGAAGGCTATACAGAGCGAAAAGAGAATGGCTAAGCTAGCCAACCTTCAGGGAAGAAGGTGCGCCTGGCGCCGAACCAATTCGGTTCGTTTAAACAACTTCAAACCGACGAAGATACGCGGATGATACGACAGTGGTGCTGTACAGGAAGGAGCAAATAATAAGAGCAGGCGAGCTGCTAGAGGAATTTGGGGAAATATCGGGTCTCAAAGTCAACAGCGAGAAAACGGTACACCTGATGCTCGTTTTAGTCCCCCAAGGTTGGCTTGTGCTTTGGGCTTATATCAGTTTTTGACAGTTCGCATACCTCGTCAGGTTTCGTCACGGTGTTGAGGTGCCTGTAAGTGGCACAGGTTGTTACATGCTTGTCTTTTCCACAACAGTACCTGGGCGGCGTGAGTTGTTTGACTCTCTTTGGGAGGGTTACCAGGATTTTCGCCCCACACAAACATCGCCCATTTCATTCAACATTCTCGGTTGTCACAAACACAACATTGTGGCTCCCGCCCAATAAAATTGCAACACCTTTGCAACCCCCACCCCCCCACAACAAGCCCCGACATTGATACAAAGTGAATTACGTGTGCACAAGATGTACACAAAACACATTCGAAGAGGCAAATTCAAGCCTCACACAGCGTCACATTTCCAAGGGAGCCAACTCCCTCCTCACAGCCGCATCCACTCCGCGGCCGCGAGGTACCCGCTCATGACAGCAGGAGCCCTACTATCAATGAGCTCCTGGCGGCGGGCTGTCTGAGCCACCCAGTCCGGGGTGGGCATGTGCATCCACGCCGGGAGCACCCTGTGTCGGAATCAACAGACAGGAATGATTGAACTAACAGTGAAATCAGTACAAGTACCTAACCCTAGAATTGTGTACCCCCTATAGGCTAACCCACTGTAGCCTAAACAAACACAACATATATAATGTTTGACACACCCCCATAGGCAAAGTGGGGGAGAGCAAGGGGTCACAAGACCAGTCAAAGCAAAGCAAAACAAGCTCAGGGTGGATCTCAAGGATACCACACAAATTCCGAGCACAAGCAAGTGGTCACAAGACCAGTTCACATGCAGGATGATAATATAACAAGAGATACAGTGATCACAACCTAGCAAGTGTAAACATGCAGGCATATATATAAAGATCACAGTACAAGCAGAGTCAAGAAGTAAGTAAGTGAGGTCCAGCAGGCACAAGGCCTAGAAGAGTACAGAAACGCTGATGGTCACAAGGCTGAAGCGCCTTGGTGAACACATCAGCAAGGTTGGCCTCAGTGGCCACGTAACGCAGACGAAGCTGACCACGCTGCTGCAGCTCTCGAGCAAGGAAGTACCGCAGGGCGATGTGCTTCGTTCTGTGCTCCAGTCTGTGCTCCTCACACAAGGCAATGGCAGCCTGGTTGTCGACGTACAGCACTGGAGGAGAACGAGGCCGCTCTCCCAAGTCGGTCAGCAGGTAGGTCAGCCAGCGTAGCTCCTGGGCAGCCATGGCTGTGGCGTAGATCTCAGCCTCACAACTGGAGCTGAGAACAGAAGAAGAGCGTGTAGAACGCCAAGAAACTGAGCCGGAGCCAAGGCTGAAGGTGTAACCCTGAGACGACCGCTGAGTAGCCTGGTCGTCCGCCCAAGAAGCGTCTGAGTGTCCAGTAAGTACAACTCGGTCTCGCCCTCCAAGCACTAGCCCCATGCCCGACGTACTGCACAAGTAGCGCAACACCCTCTTAGCGGCATCCATGTGCTCCTTCCTGTGACGGCCAGGAGCGACATAGCGTGCAAGGATGCTAAGAGGGTATGCAAGGTCAGGTCGAGTGCATGTCATCAGGTACATGAGGCAGCCCACAAGCTCTGGATACGGGCCACTCGGCTCTACGGACTCATCCGAAGGCAGAGCTGAAAGCGAGTGACCGGTAGGCAGAGGAGTGGACTGAGGCGAGGAGTACGTGAAGCGGAAGCGCTGAAGGATCTGCTGCACCATGTGTGACTGAGTCAAGGTGATGGTGCGCCGTGCTCTGTCCCGGGTGATCCGCAAGCCAAGATAGCTTGTCAGTTCACCCAGGTCTGTGCACGTGTGTCTCCTCTGCAGCTCCGACTTCACGTGGGCGAGTGCCGCGGTGTCAGCAGTGGCAAAGACCAAGTCGTCGACGTACACGAGGATGTAGAGCGGCAGTGGGCGCAGTAGCGGCGGCCGCAGTGGGAGCGAGTGCAGCAGCGGCAGCGGTAGCAGGCGCAACAGGAGCGCACGGGCGGTAGCGGCCGCGGCGCACGAGCGGGAGCGGCTGCGGGCGACGCGCAAGCGGTAGCTGCCGCGGCGGGCCTGTAGTAGCGGCAGCTGCAGCGGGCGACAAGCAGGCGGCAGCTGCAGCGGGCGACGAGCGGGCGGCAGCAGCAGCGGGCGACGAGCGGGCGGCAGCTGCAGCGTGCGACGAGCGGGCGGCAGCAGCAGCGG